AAATTTACGTATATAGCTTCACTTATCCTAGAAGTGCTCAATGCATCAACATATGCAGAGCGAAATACAGATGAAAAGAATAGAAGTTAATGGAGTTGTAACTCGGAGTTTCACCCACTAAGTGTTCATCACACTAAAAATTCTGAAAACAGATTTCGGTTTTAAGGTGGAAATTTGAAATTCATGAACGGTTGAAGAAGCGTGCTTCTGTGAGTTCTGTGCGGATTGATAGATTGCTTAGTGCGTGAAACTCCGAGTTACAACTCTATTAACTTCTATCCTGTTCATTTGTTAGAGTAAATATATACATATCTTTTTTTTAATTTCAAATTGCATCTCCGCAATAATTAGTGCGTGAAGCACTGAAGTCTTGTCCAACTTAACCTGAGTCATCTGAATATTGAACGGCCTTTGCCACCGGGGGCCAATTCACTCAAAGCAAATATAGGATAGGTCGATGGGCAGATATAAAATAGGATTTTGAAAATAACCGCAACGGAATAAAATGTATATTAGAGCCAGGAAAAAAACACACCCACAATAGCTTGACCAAAGTGACTAAGTAAAAGTTGTGGAAAGGACGGCCAAGCCACAAGGAATTCGTGTCTTCCTTCATCCAGGAAAATTATTCCTTACTTGTGCTGAAGAAACTTCCATTGTTCCTTATTCAGACCGGGCATTTTTTGCTTCCTGCGACCGGGAAGGGGGTTCTGAGCCAACCTCTCTATAACTTCAAAATTGCTCATATTACGGCTACCAAAATTACACAGAATATAATTATACGGTAAAATTCCGAAAATTAGCCCAGGGTTATAACTGTCAACGGCCCTTTTTAAGGGGTTATTTTGGGAGAGGCTTATATTCGGACGGGCTTATCTACGGAGGGAAATTTGCGTCTCAAAATCGATTGGGCTAGCCTTCATATGTTCAACTGTTCTACAAACTGTCTTTGTCCTATTGCACTCTAAAACCTGACAATCTTATTTTAAGAACAAAATTTCTCAAATTAAACTACAGATTAAGAGTTTTTTTTTTTCTGAAATGAAATTATTTTTTTAAGAAAAAACAATCTTATGTCAAGGGAAAATTATTAAAATACGAAACAGGCCTTATTTTTAGTAAAAGCATTCTAAATCTTACTTTAAGAAAAATAATTCTTATTATGAGCAGGTAGTTTCTTAAATTAAAAAACTATTTAAGAATTTAATTTTCTTAAGTTAAATTTCTGCTTTTAAGAAAAAATTTCTTTTTTCAAGAAGAAAAACTAGTCTTTATTTGAAGAAAAAGGATTCTGAAAGCTCAGAGCCAATCAAAGGCCCTGTTCAAACATCAAACTACTAAACTTGTGACAACATTGTTATGCACCAAATCAATGTTCTCTTTTATTCCTCCACATTTGAAGTTTGACATAATTACAAAACATCTAAAACCTTCTATTGTGGTTGCTCATGATCGATAGGCATATCACACCATCTTTGATTCTGTTTGTTTTTTTTTTGGGAAAAAAAATAGGACTAAAAAGGAAAGAATGGTAATCCTACTTTGGGCATGGTAAAACAAAATAAATATATTTTTTCACAAAAAAAACCACCTGCCACAGGATAAGTTATATTACTACAAAACTAACACTTATTACAACAAAGATTGCACTGGGAATGAACATCTGAATTTAAATATACTTATTCACAGTCCAAGCTCTCATAAGTGACCACCTTGGAAACTTGAAAAAGTGGTTGTGACTGCATGTTAAAATTCATTAATGATTCATTAAGAAAAATAAAGCAACCAATGGTTAATTAGTGTCTTTACATCTGATATAGCCACGGCTATGTCCTTTGAGTAAAGACACCCAGATTTAATAAGTTTAGAGGATTGACTTAATTTATGCCAAAATATTCTGGTCTATTTGCCAGATGCGAAGAGCGCCGTGGTAGACTAAGATATGTTCAGTTTACCTTACAATGAGTATGCCCACAGTAAATAAAACAAAAACATAACATTTATTATATTCAATTTTGATGAGCGTAGCCTTATTACATTTTTAATGTGGAATAACACAATATCGAATTTTTACTAAGAACTTTGGAGTTTAAGACACTCTGCGGGAAGCTAAGCCTGTTATTTACCCATTAGGATCCTGTTAAATATTTCAATTTCCGATGAAAAGCTGCCGTTATTACAGATTGTTTCACTACCAGACATGTTGGAGTGAAATTGAACATTAGATATCAATATCCGTTTTTATTTTCATTCAAATTGAAGATAATTATCACAACCGAAGTAAAATATGAATAATAGGGCGAGGATCCCGCGTAGCGATTCTAGTCTTGAAATTTGATTTTCATTTTTAACTTTCTACCATCTTTAATTCTGCTTCCGGCCATATATATCGCTGAGTGGATTTCAACCTAAGTTTCCTAAATAACTTTATATCATTTCCACAGGGGTTGAGTCCTGGTATTTTCCTCCCTTTCTCAACCGTACCTATAAAATAGGGAATGATGGCTTTACAGAATTTGAGTATACGTGTTTACCCAAAGTGCGTTGAGGTCAAATCATTGACTAAAGCTCCGTTGTTGGGTTCTTGGAAATAAATTTCCAATTTGCATAGATGAAAGTCAACCACTCTTTGCGGGGCATTCGCTAAAATTAAAAAAGTATTCTCCGGTAAAATCTTGTCCTGGTGCGGTTTTGATTGGTCATTTCCGAGTTCCAAAAACTCTCACTTTCAAAATGACGCTAGGAGGAAAACCTTTTTTGTGACAATGAGTTGTATAATATATCCTAAATACTGGTCACTAGAAAGCCGACTGGGGCCGGTAAATAACAAGCAGAAACTGAGTTCAATCAGTTTGTCAACCTGCTGGATAACTGACAATTTTGATAAGATTTTATTCATATACTAAATTATATTTTCTTATATATACTGAACACCTGTTATGTAGGAAAACTCTCCATTTAACAAAAATTCAAGTCTTAAGGAAAATAGCCTGTGTACAGACGTCCCCCCTCCCTTAGGAAAAATCCCGATATTTCCTGAGGGAGAGGGGATGTCTGTACACAGGCTAAAGGAAAATCACATTCAATCTATGGCGCTAGCGAAGTACTTTCTTTTCATATCTTTACTTTTTGATATCTCCAGATTGACATCGACTGCAAACTGCCAGACTGCGAACTGAGCACGCGTCGTAATGGAGAAATGGGTATGAAAAATCGTGGTATAAAAGGACACAGCTTTAAAAATCATACACTGTCCAATGCATATGACTGCCATGTAAAATGCTTCCTTGAAAGATGTAAATGCCAAGCGTTCCAAATGAAACAAAATCTGTGCGAGTTGCTGGATGAAGACAGATTTTCTTCTCCTGAAGACTTTCTCGAAGAAGAAGGATACGAATATTTTGATATGAACCGAGAATACGTCGACCAGGTAACCAATGAATCTTGCCTTTTAATACCCGTTAAAATGAAAAAAAATTGAATTGGAAGCTCAAAATTCGAAGCTGCTTGACGTTTTTACCTTCATCAACAAAAATAAAAGAACTGCTTTTTTCTAATTCCGTCCAGGTTTAGACCAATGATTCCATTTTACCTTTCCACATTTATCGGCGATGATGATAAAGTTCACGACGGCATCGTTCTTACCGGTCTTTAACAATCCGGGCTTGAAATGCATTTGTTAGCGTTTTCATTTTCTCTTTAAGAATACCCCAAAGTTATTACTTCCTAATTCATTTTTTTAAAAATATACATCAGCTTTATATTACTTTTTATTTCAATTTTTTTTTCTGAAAAAACAAATTGGAAGGAATACTTAAAGTTGGTTTGGTGAAAGTGCCTGTGAAAGAGAAACTCCTCATAAAAAAAGAAAAAAAACATAGAACATATTTGAAGTTTAGATGGTGAAACGAAAAAGAATTAGACAAAAAACTGATTATTTCATTCCATTTAGCAAACAAAATTTCAAAACTTAGAGCAACAATTCCACAAATCATGTATTTCGTTCAGATCGCTCAAACTCGACGCCGCGCAAACTTGACTCGCCTTGCCACGGCACTTGAGGCTATGATTTTTGTCAAATAAAATTTTGATGTGAAACTCACAGAATTGTGAACATCAAAAATGTTTAAGGAATCCTATTATGCTGCGGGGAAATAGCTAATAAGGTGTGAGAAAACTCAACTGCAAACAGCAACGGTGATAAGTTTGTGGTTTTGTGGTTTGCTTGCGCGTCCTGAACTTTATTGTGATTGGTCACTACACAATCAACATTCCTGAACGGTTTTCTAAGTTTAACAGTAAAATCGATCGATTGTGTGGGTTGATGTTATGAACTGTTGCCCGGCAGCCTCGAAATAGGCAAAAGTTACAAGGCGGTTAGTGTTCTTTGATCCGCGTACAAAGGGATCTGGCGGTCTTACCAACGTATTTGCCGAACGGTTAATCGATTACTAGCCAATTCTCACCTTTCGTGTATTTAATCTAAAATAACTTCAGAAACCAGTATGAAAGTGTACCTATCAAATTATAACTGTGATTTTGTCGTTATTCCCACGTGCACTTTTAACAGAATTTTTATTGGTGTTTATACTGGCAACTGCAGAAAAAGCTTGCGAAGAGCAACTGTGCATTTACCAGTGCTGTAATCAGAGTCCTTGCGCTTACGGAGGCACCTGCATTGAACTGTGTGAAAACGCTAAATACAAGTTCAACTGCACATGCGCCATGGGGTATTTCGGAAGAGCAACATCTTGTAAAGAATTCCTGCAGTGAGACGATGGATTTGACCCGTCCGGAGTTTATCAACTCTTTGACCCACAAACAATTTCATCAATGATGTCTTCTGTGATTTCACCCCTGAAAAGGGATTCGTTTGGACTCTGATCGAATCTTTCAGCTTTTGCTATAATGATGAATTTAAGGATAAAGCATTTTACGAAGACTATCACTTAAACCAGGAAGCATTTACATGGAGCAAGTTTCGTTTATCTTTGCCACGTATGAATGCCGCAGTAAAACGCTCGACGTACTTGCGAGCAACCTGCAACTTCAACACTGAAGAACTTAAATACGAAGATTACTTAAGGGCCAAGTTAAGCGATATCGATCTTATGCGCTTCAGTTTAAGTACTTGCAAAAAATTCGAATTTATTAGCGTCCGCGGAAATAACTGTACTAACAACACCGCTCATTTCGTCCAAAGGGATTTTTGGCATGCGCATAGTGATTCGAATAACCAAGAATGTTCCTGTACCAGCTTATCCGAAGGTGCAGTGAAGTTCCCGGGAGGCGAAGATAACTTCGGATGGTATAAAACAAGAAATCCGGTTCACAGATGTGTAGCAAGTAATGATTCTACGACACAGTGGTTGTTCGGGGTACAATACTAGGCTCTTTGATGAAGATCAATCCAGCGCAGACATTCTCTGAACATTTTCAACTATCTTAAATGTGGACCTTGGAACTTTTGCGTGTTTTCTTTATTACCAGAACTGTAAAGGAGTAATAGTTCCCGGATAATGCAAGGCTTTCCAGGTGGTCCCTCCTTTATCCCACCTGACTTATGCATGTTGCACTGGATTCCAAGCTTACGTTCTCAGTGCTCTGGCCTTGCTGTGCAGCACCCGGAAACCTTGAGGCTTTTCTTAGATTAGACGAGTTTTAATGCGCCTGCCACTTATGGATTCACCAATATGGGTTTATTTTTGCGTATTTTATTGTAAAACAAGGTTTAAATGAATTGGCGTCTTTCGACAGATCTTATCATTTGCGACAGGTGTTTCACGATATTAATTCAATTTTTTGCTGGATTGGGTGTTGGCAAACACATCTTGGGTTAGCGTAAATTAAAATCAGTTTCATTGACATTCGTGAAACATGTAATTAAAAAGCCCATCTTGTACATCTATGTCGATGAGTGTTTCAGTCACATACTGTAAGTAAAACGGTAAAGAAACATTAAAAGAAAAAGGAAGCATCCCGATTCCGTATCCTAGATTCCCAGTTACGAGGACTTTCCTAGAAGTAACAAGTGCAAACTGAGTAGTGAGTTGTGTAAATAATTTGGCACTCGGCATTTAGTTGAACTAATGCCATTTTCTAGTAAATGTAAACATTCATCATATAAATTTTTACGTTTTTAAATACCAAGCATATATGGTATATGTCCCTAGAAGGAATACTCGATCCTATACCTTACGTTGGAACAATGACGCTGATGAACAACTTTCTTTTCGTTTTAATAGTATTTGACGTCTGCAGTTTGAAATTAACAGTCACAGGCTGTCAGAGAAGATGCGAACAAAGCAGAGGAAGTATTGCTGAAACGGGTATGAAACATCGTGCTATACAGGGACACAGCTTCAAAAATTATACGCTGTCGAAAGCGTATGACTGTCATGTAAAATGCTTCGAAAAGAAATGTAAATGCAAGGTGTACCAAATAGGAAAAAATCAGTGCGAATTGCTGGATGAAGACAGATTTTCTGCCCCTGAAGACTTTGTCGAAGAAGATGGATACGTTTATTTTGATATGAGTAGAGAATACGTCAACCAGGTAACCAATAAATAGTACCGACTTTCATTAAAGTCAGTAAAAACAAGTAAATTAGGGACCTCAAGCTACTAGCGTTTCCATCTTTGACAAAACAGATGAAAGAATCGGGAGTCGCCTTGAGGTTGTCATAATCGCGTTTTGTCAGGACCTCATTGTTTTGATCGGCTAACACTTAATTGTTTAACACGCACCTCAGTTCTCATACTCATCTTTTTCCCATCTAAAAGGACATGTTTTCAAATTTTGTGTGTCCCTCTTAAAAAATCCGTTCAATTTGTTAATTATTAATTAAATCGTCCTCGTTTTAAACATAAGAGGCTTACAGTTCTTCACATGGTGCATGTTTTCCGAATTGCCAAATTTTGTAATCACCAACTATCTCAGTCATTTCAAGAACTCCTTGTTTAGCCTCTTCTCGTATTTTATAAACAAGAAAAACCAACGGAAAGGAAACAATACCTTCATAGATATTTTTTTTATTCTTGGCATTGTCAGTTTATTAATAAACGGATTTTTTTAGGCCGAAGAGTAAAATATTTCGGATTTGCATGTGTGTGTGTGTGTGACTGTTTGTTTGTGCGTGTTTATATTTATTAGTTATAAGAAGCTGTCTAACAGCTACATCTTCTTTGGGGACACATATGTGGATTCATGCGTGAGAATTTTCTTCCACTCTTTTACAAAATTTTTTATCGACAGTTGACGGAAGCGAAAACCGATTGCCTCTGTTTACAGTGCAACATTTTTAGTTTGCTTCTATTTTTTCTCAGGCGTACAAGAAAATATATCCCACCATCAAACATGTGGTGCTTGTGATTATGTGGGAGGAGTGGGCGCATTTTGATTTTGCTATGTTAAAAAATCAAGATTTTGGCAAACCTAAAAGTGGAACTCCCATAATGATACTGATAATAAAGAAACAAATTTAGACCGTCGCAGTAATGAGTGCCTGTAAACTAGCATGGATAAGCTAAGTGCACTTTCCACTATAAAAAAGCCGTTAAACCTTTTTAAACCTTTGACTAGAGATTTTATTAATGAGATGAGCGAAAATTGTCAAACTATAACTATTCATTTATCATAATAATTATAGTTTCTACCTGCACTTTTAACACACTTTTCTCTTGTTGTACTTCTAATAGACATCTGCAAAAGAAGCGTGCAAAGGGCGACTTTGCATTAACCAGTGCTGCAATCAAAATCCACGTGCTCACGGAGGGATCTGCACACACCTATGTGATGTAGCCAAACAAAAGTTCAACTGTACATGCTCTGAGCGATATTTTGGCAGATATTGTCAAAGGCAGGGTGCAACATCCTGCAAAGAGCAACGGCAGAAAAAGGAAGGGAGCAAGTCAGGAGTCTATCAACTGTTTGACCCAGCAACTAATTCCATGTACGAGGTCTTCTGTGATATCAACTCTGAAAAGAGATTCGTTTGGACTCTGATCGAATCTTTCAGCCTTCGCAATAATAATGAATTTTGGGATAAAGCATTCTACAAAAACTATCCGATAAATCAGAAAGAATTTACTTGGAGCAAGTTTCGTTTATCTCGCGCTCTTATGATGGCCACAGCAAACAACTCAACTCACGTTCGAGCAACGTGCAACTTTGATAGTGAAAAACGCAACTACAGAGATCACTTAAGAGCCAAGTTAAGTGATCTCAATGTTATGCATTTTAATTCTGTCGAATGCAAAAAATTTGAATTCGTTAGCGTTCGAGGATATAACTGTAGCAACTGCACAGCCCTTTTTGGCCAATCTGACTATATGCATGCGCACACCGATTCTTATTGGGGTTCTCAACAACAGTATAAATGCCAGTTTACCAGCGCATTAGCAGGTGCTGTTAAGAGACCTGGAGGCGAAGATAACTTCGGTCATTATGAAACAGTCAATCTGAATCACACATGTACGTTGAGTGATGATTCTACTACTCAGTGGTGGTTTGGAGTACATGAATGAGCTTCAATAAAAACTGTCACATTTAGACATTAACCCCTATAATTATTGGGCCTTTCAGGAACCTATTTAGGGTGGCTTAGGAGGATCCCCCTCCCCCCACCACTTTAACAAGAATACAGCCACCAAAATTAGACAGATTAAGGTCATCATGATAAATCATTTCCAACATCTAGATTGACACAACTACGTAATGTAACGTTATTGGGAATGTCGTATTGTTAAATTTATTGGCAGCACCCAAATTTCATCAAATTTTCTTCTCAATGTAAAGATAAGGGAAAAAATACTTTATAAGAAATAAGGCTCATCATCAAACATGAAGAATTGTGCAAGTCGAGGAGGATTAATTAAACCTCAGTGAATAATAGCTTCCGTAATATCTTAGCTTGTATACACAGCTCTTTATATCATACGAAATCCGAATTTAATAATTGCGATGAGCCAATAACGGTCCTCCGTTGAGACAGTAAATATTCAGTTCTCTTCTTTGCTCCGAGAGGTTTTTCGCCTAGTAACCCGGATATATTTTCTTTATTTCTTTATTCATTCCTTTATTTTATTTATAAACATAGTCCAGTTTTTTGTTTTTTTTTTTGGCAAAAAATGGGGGTATATATTTAAGACCTCAAAGGGGCTTTTGAAATGCTATTTGCCGAAGCCGAGAACTGTGCATGATGAGATAGCAGCCAGGGGACAAAATTCCTTACATCATATTCCGTTTCATCTCATGGGTTCTATCAACATCATTTAGGTAAACTAATGCTATGTTCTATTAAAGGTAAATATGTGTAGAATTTCATGCTGTTTGAGAACAGCAAGCCCATTTCATTTGAGATATTTTCAATTTAAGTGAAATGTTAATCTAATATTGAATTCAAGCATGGAAAGGAACACTCGATATTAAATCGTACGCCCAAATAATGACGCTGATGAAATATTATCTTTTCTTTTTTAATATTCTTTGACGTCTGTAGTTTGAAATGAAGAGTCGCAGCCTGTCAGAGACGATCCATGCAAATAAAGCGGTGTTGGTATAAGTAAAACGGTTATGAAACATCTTGCTATGCAAGGCACCCCCCTTCAAATATTATACGCTGTCAAAAGCGTATGACCAGCTTCGTTTCCAGGGTACTCTCCTGGGGACGCGAAAGAGAGGACCCTGGAAAGAGGCTAGTGTATGAATGTCATGACTGTGAAATACATCGATGAGAAATGTTCATGCCAGTCGTACTAAATAAGACAAAATCGATGCTAGTTGCCAAATGAAGACAGATTTTCTGCCAGGACGTCCGTGTGTTTGAATTCGACTAAAACGAAAATATGTTTCAAACCTTAAATTTTCAATAGCCGTGATAGATTATTTTATAAAAACGTTATAAATGACTTACATTATTCTTAAGTAGCGTCAGAATGCTGCTTATTATAAATATCATATTTCGATGCTAGGAAATTTTTTTTATCAGTCTTCCATTACGCTACCAAGAAAAGCTGAGCTTGTTAAATTATAATGTAGAAAATTCGTTTAAGATTTCATCGTAATTATCATAGTAATGAAAATCGAGGTTAAACTATTTATGGGGAGATTGTTACATTGCACTGCATGGCGTTGTTTGCTAAAATCAGCATGAACCGACTGGGAAAACAGGTGAAATAAATAACAACATCGACCGTTAATTATTGTAACTTTCACTGTTTGCGTTTCCTGACGTCTACAGTTTCCCATGTGTAATTATGATAATATTTTGTTCTATTTATCTAACTGAGGGAGCCCATTCCTTATAAGCCCGGTGGCTTCTCTTGGGCTTCCTCGCCATGAGAGTTTAAGTAATTAGATTTCATTTGATTAAAACAATAAACAATAAACAATTTCGTCTGCCTTGAGCAAATACTGCGTGGGTAAATTTGAAGAGAGTAGGGGAAACGTCAACCAGGCGGGTTTGAAACATCGTGCCTTGTTAGGCCATAGTTTTCATAATGAAACATCATCTACATCTTTTGACTGCCACGTGAAATGCTTTGATGAGAAATGCAGGTGCCAAGCGTACCAAATCTGGCAAAATCGATGTGAGTTGCTGGATGAAGACAGGTTTTCCGCTCCAGATGATTTCGTCTTCCGTGAAGGATATATTTACTTTGATATGAATAGGAATTATGTAAACCAGGTAAGAAGTAATTTTAACGCTTTTTCGGCGATGTAATGGACATCTATAGCTGCGTGGCAAGTGCGTGGCTACGTCTCTTTGTCTACATTTCGTTTTTTCGTTTCGAATTTCACCACCCAGCCATGTCTTTTTATCTTTTAGGTTTCAAAGAACAAAGCATCATCCCTAATTAAACCTTGCAGTAACCAGTGCTGTAACCCGAATCAATGTGCCAATGGGGGCACCTGCACTGAGTTATATGAAGACGCTAAAAACAAATTCAACTGCACATGCGGAATAGGATATTACGGCAGATATTGTCAAAAACGAATTGTCGCATCATGCCACGAGCAACTGCAAAGAAACGAAGGAAGCCAGTCTGGAGTCTACCAACTTTTTGACCAAGCAACTAAGGCCTTGTACGAGGTATACTGCGATTTTAACTCTAGTGATGGATCTGCTTGGACGCTGATCGAGTCATTCAGCTTTTCAAATAAGGCAGATTTTGCAAACAAGGATTTTCAGGAAGACTACCCCATAAACCAAAACGCGTTTGCGTGGGATAATTTTCGTTTATCATTATCCAGGATCACAACTACTGCTTTGCTTTCCACACACATGAGGGCGACCTGCAACTTTGACATGCATGGACTTAACTACACTGATTACTTGAAAGCAGCATTGAGCGAAATAAATCCCATCACTAGCTTGTCCTTCGATAAGTGTCACCGATATGAATACATCAACATTCGAGGTTATAGCTGTAGTAATTGCACAACTTTTAATTGCACAAGTAACTTTTCTCAGTCAAGACGTTTTCATTCTCACGTCGATTCGTACTTTGGAACGTACATCGATCATTGTGAGCTTAAAACGCCAGATGCGGTGGGTTCTTCAACCCGTGAAGATAACTTCGGATATTACAAAACATTTAATCCTATACATAGGTGTTCGTCTTCGTCACAAGTAAGAAAATATTATATCGTTACATCGTTTTTATTCACAGAGGTCAAGGGTTCGAATCCCGTACAAGCCTGAATGTTTTCAGGCTTTCTTTTTGCAACTGCAAAAGGTGCGTCTATAACTACGATGATCTTCTTTTATAAAATTAATTAAACCTTATTAAACAAAAAATTAACCTTTAATTATTTAGTAGAAATCCATGTTTGCTACAGCTCACGATATTTCTTGTAGACAGGCCTGGAAATACACTACCGCAATCGGCTTTCATTAAAACTTGGTAAAGCGTTCTCTTCGAATCCTGAGGTGTGGTCGCTAAGCGCCCCTATGGGGATTTCAAGAGGAGTACCCACGCCTAAATAATAGGCTATTTCTGAGTTACCCTAAGCCTTTGTTTCCAATCGAGACTATCTGCGACGCTATTTATTTGAAAACGATTTTTTTTATCTCCTGCAAATAAAACTCATTTTCACAAAAAAGGTTTTGCGCTTAGCCTCGTTTTGAAAGTGAGGGTTTTTGGAACTTGGAAACAGCCTATTTAACACATTTAAGGCAAAAATTTCGAAAAACTTAAGGATGAAACTGAATCAGAAATAAGCAAGAGGAAGAAGCACTGGCTAACTCTTCAGTTAGACATCTGTCTCGTCAAGTTTCCATTTTACAATTATTTATGCCTTTTCCCTCCTACTATATATTTAACAATTAATGAATGAGGCTGAGTATCTTGTGAAAAATTATGGAGATCGAGGAGGGTGTTATCTGTCGAGGTCATGGGCCGAGGCGGATAAAACCCTCCGAGATCTCCATAATTCTTCATATGTTACAAAAGCCGAATTCAATAATTGTTTTATAATTCATCCAAAATAATTCCTA